ACACTTGTTGAAAAAATGCAAAGAAAAAAAGTTAGTTTTGAAATATGACGATTTTTCAAATGTTCAAGATCCTGGGTACAAGATATCAAGAAATATCTGTACCCAAGGTCTTGCGTAAGATCTTGAGCACAAAAATGTCCTGAGATCTTGTACCCATTTTTTCAAGATCTAGTGCCAAATCTTAACGTAAGATCTTGGGCAAGATCTTGGTTTCAAGATGTTGGACTAGGGGACCGTACTTGTGTTGAACTTACTGGTTTTTTTACAGTCCACTGAATTTCTATTCGTTCTTTCAAGTATCCAATGAAATTTCGTATCGTTTTGGGATAGATTATTGGGAAGAGCTAGCTCAGCCAGTGTTTCTATCATTACGCGTACGTCTTTGTTTCAAAGCGTACGGTACGCGAACTAAATTGAAAATACGCTTTGTATCAACCAATAGGAAAAGACAGAACGACAAAATCCACGAATTACCACGTCTCTGTACGCTCTGCTGAAAATTCTCATTATAAAGCCTGAGCTGAGCAGCGAGCAACTCAAAGTCAATTTTTCGCCAAAAATCGTAGAGAGGATCTCAGAAAAAAATCGTTGGCACTGGTTTCTTATTATGGAGGGGAGATTATACCATAAACGATAATTATTTGTAAGTTAAACGATAAAGAAAGCCTAACATAAATCATAAACATCAAGATTCAAAGTTATCAAAAAATAATTCTTCAGGTAGTGATTGAAGTTCTAATACTCTCAGCATTTTTGTAGATCACAGAATATACAAATAACGGCATGCCTAAGAACACTATAGACAATTGGGCATTTGAGTAGACTTTTCAAGGTTTATTTTCAAAGATAAAATCTAAACCTTCTGCTGTTTATTGAGCCCTAGAGTGTTGAACCGTGTCAGGATGAAATAAATTACACCGCGAATGTTTCAGTTGTGATTGAAATATTATTTATGTTAATTATTTGTTTGAGATTATTGTTTGTGTATAAAAATAACATGTAGAAGACACAGGAATGAACACATGCAACCACAAAAGCTGTTAAGAAAATATTGTATCCATAAATAAAATTTGTTATGATTGATGTACAATTGAATAAAATAAGATAAATTCCTATGGTCAATATTCGAAAAAACATTTTATGCACAATATGTACATAAAAACAGGAAGTCAGAGAAATTATTTCGAAGTTGACTTGCAGTTTACCGATATGAAGAAAAACATCTGAATCTTACATGCTGAACGAAGACAAAGATGTTTGTTGAATGACAAAAAAAGTCAGATCAGAGAGATTAAAAATAACAAAGGTTTTTATGATGGTTCAATTATTGACGATTTGATCTAGATCCACAAAATGACGATGTGATTCTACAGAAACTTAATTATATAAATAGTCATATTATCACTCGATTCTCTTTTCAAACATTCATCGATTACTTCATCACATATTTGACACAAATTGGGAGTATTATGGATTCGTTCTAAGATAAAGTTTGCACATTCTTCATTTGACATTACATCCCATATACCATCACAGGCTAACACAATAAAACCAAGCTCGTAATTTGAATCATATCGAGGATATTCTTCGATCTCAGCATCAGGTGAAACCAAATATTTGTTCATCGAAAAATCACCGAAGACCTAAAACATATAGAACTGATAAGAAAACATTACTACAGTAAAATAACTTAATTTGACTTGATCGAAAATTTATGCTATGTGTTTAATAACATACTCAAACTGTAATCGTCTCATTTGGAGGCAAATAGATTTTAATATTAACTACATATCGTTAATCTTTCCTTTTTCTAAAAATATCAATGTCAGAATGAGATTTTGTACAGCTTTAGGTTATTGTACGATTTGTTTACTGTTGTACTTTTAGTTTGGTGGATATTCGAAACAATTTGGTAATCGCATAGGGTTGCACTCTTTCGCTGGCGAACCTAAAATATCACGTAGTAATAACCAATTCTTAACTGCATACCCGTGTCGGCATTAATTGTCCTTCGACTCTGCCATCCCATATACTCCCATCTTTTTCTTCGATTCGTTCTTTTTCGTGTTCATCACTTGCTGTATGATCATGAGTGGATAATAATACTTGACCATTTTTAGATACCAATATAGCACGGGCATCACCGAGATTTATAAAATAAATTTTCTCCGGACCTAAATCCAACACAAAGGTGTCATCAAACTTTATCTTAAGAAAGAAGAAAACGGCTTTTGGTATAATGTGAGAATGCATCATATAATCAACTATGGTGATTCGAAACACATGCTCGAACAACAGCTAGAGTATAAGCCGAAAAATTCAACACAATCATCTAATTGATTGTCACATTGATTATATAGAACAAGGCAAACCGAAAAGAACTAATTATAAAAGACAGAAGAGTGTCTCTTTCATCCAAAAGACGCCTGAATAGAAATCTCACTCTGAGTGTGATTTTTTATGAAACTACTAGTAACCGATTACTTACCAATGAGACATGTGATTGCCACTGCTCCACTTTCGTCCTGCTGTGATTTTGTTTTTTTTAATTTATCATCCATATAGAAATACGTTTGTTTTATTACTTTTCTAAATGTTTCTATATCAAGTTTTGACGATGTTACCGGTCCTTCAACATGATCATGTTTCAACATATCATTCAATGCTTGAAGCATATAACCATGAAAATTCTGAGCACATTTTTTAGCAGTTTCTGTACCATTATGACCGTCAAATATGCTAAAATAAGACCATTCAGACCATGCATGAGGATCGAATTTCATTAAGAAACAATGCGTATCCTCCATAGACGAACGCCAACCTTGCATCTGACCTAAAACAACAAAAGAAATGTTTAAATCCTGTTCACAACTAATACTGTATGTAATAAATTTACGCAGTACAATAAAAGATTCTTTCTGAAACTTTTGACTTACTTAGTCCAAATTCTAAATACTTATTTTTATCGTGTGCATGTTTTTTGTGCAAATCTGGTGTTGTCAAGAAAAGACTGTCGACTGTTTTACTGTAACGACGTTTTCGACGACGACGTGATAAAAATGGAATAATATTCATATTGAGTTTCTATCTAAAACTGATCAATGACTCTCATCAAGATCCCTGTTTAGTACTTCGTCCTGCATTAATAATTTTCATCTATTTTTTGTTTCTTTTTATAACTGTAAGACAGTACACGTGACATTTATTATTGTTACTCTTGTTCTATCGCTTATCTGTGTGTACGACACAAAATGGCTACTCATCGGGGATATATTTCTTCAAGTTACGAAAAGCAGAAAGTACGATTCTCAGACTTTTTCGTTATTTATCAGAGTTAAATCAAGAAAAGCGGTCTTTTTCTACCCACTTAATTGAGAGATAAGAGAAGATAAACCACAGGGGGGAATTCTAAACTCGTATTCGTTTAATAATTCTTTATTATTAAAGTATTTATGCCTTTCTCTCCTCTTTCATGCATATTTGGTAACAATGACATTTAAAGAAAAATGGACTAACATGTTCTCTTTGCAGAATCCAACTGCAACTAATTGATACACAATAGAATAAGTTTATATACTGTCATTCCTATTGCATGCATACTGTGTCAGACTATTAAATTCATGACTCAAACTACAAGATGTTCGATAATCCGTCTTCGCGATATGCTTGCGAGACCGCTAATTCAGTAAGTACTACTAAAACGACGAAGTATCACTAAATCAGACAGTAGAAGGTTATTCGTTCATGATCAATCATCTTCACAGCTGAGCTAGCTAAATGTACCGCTTTACCTAGGTTGAGCTAACTTATCAATTTTTTTTCTTTTGCTTGGGTAAAACGATTACCCTTTCTTCGACCATGTCTGATCGTACTGATTTGGAGAAAAGATGGTTCCAAGGTTCAGTAGCCGTGGATGAAGGATCTAAAGTTATTTTTCAATATATGATCCTCTCAAAGTTTGGACGCACTCTCTGCTTGTCGTAGGACTCAATTGCAATAGTTGGCAGTAGACTTCAGTTACACGAAATCCAGCCTTGTCCTTTTTTCAACACGCTAAAAACGATTTCAAATTTTCTCCTTTCATAGAATGGATTTTTCAAAAAGTATGTGAACAGACAAAGGTTTTTTATTTTTCTTAGTGGGATAACAAGCGGAGAGGGACTCTACTCTATTACTAAAAGATTTGATTTAACTACTGAATCCGCTAAAATGTTTACTAAAAAGGCCACAATTTCCTTACCAATTTCTTTTCATCTCATCTGGAAGAAATTTTTATGAAGGCTGAGTCTCCCATCTCTGTACCAAACTGCTGGCAACACTACTGGTTTTTCTAT